TGGCCTGTTGTGTTCATCCAGCTCTACATCTTGTTATCACCAATCAAATCTGTGCCCATTTTTCCCACAACTTCACATTCAAACTTGTCATGTTAAGCCACTGTCTCAGCTGTGAAAATGCCTCAGCAATCACAAATGACATCCTGTGTGACTGACAATAGTGCACTATGCCTCCTTAACCTATCAGCAGTCTTTGACTCAAACAGTAATGTCATATTCTTCAGTTTCTTCTCCACTGTCTGGTCAAATGGGACTGTCCTCACTTGGTTTTATTGTTGCTTACCCAGTTGAGTTTGAGAAACTCCTGCAATCACTTTTCCTAAACTGTTACATCTAGCATCCCAATAAGACATTAGGAAAATCGAACCCATTGTTTTTTGGCCTCTAGCAGAAACTCTTATTAAATTACTGATTCTAATCTTTTCTTGTCTTCAGCTGAACATGACACCAGTGTCTAATTTGATTCTGGGCTAAGCTATTACCTAGACACAAGGAGCTGACAGCTGACTTCAAGAACATACTATTCTATTTGTAGCAGAAGTAGATTTGTACTAGGGCAGTTCTGACTTCAGTGTGTGCAGGATGTTAAATATAAAGATCTTAGACTCTTTGGCTAAAGGTTAGGAGTTGACCTATACAGAAAATTATGTGAAAAATAAATGAATACTTTAGACAGATGTCAAGCATTGACTTTACATGACATTAACTGATACTCGAACAAATATGATTTCTCAATGTTTTCATCATCAGCCTTCTCCTTGGTGTCAGTAATCCCTGTTCATTTATCACCCTCCAAAACACACTGATACAAAAAAAAAACTGCTACCATGTTCCATGGTCACACCTTTTTGGAGGGTCGTTGTGGACTTGATGGGCCAAATGGCCTGCTTCCACACTGTAGGGATTCTATGATATTAACACGGAATGAAGGAACAAAGATTGTGTTATACTGATCCTTCAGTCTTTTATTCATCTTTCTTTGATGAGCTACTTTTTAACCATTTTACGCAGCAATTTACAGTGTACACCATTGAAAAAGCCGAGTGATGCAGAAGTAACAACTAAAAAACCATGTGCTGTTGTAGCAGCATATTCATTATATCTGACTCAGCACTAAACACCATTGCAATGGCAGCAAAACAGACATTGTTACTTCCATGCTATGCACCATTCGAATTATATTGAACAATCCTGGGTTTAAAAAAAGACACTCAAACGCTCTGCAAGGCACTCCTCGGAGCTCTGCTGTAAACCTAAGAGAAGTATTTGCTAAGTGAATGTGAGTCGCAAATTATGCTGAAGGTCAAGTTAGCTTCTCAATCAGCCTACACATCTTTTGTAACATAAGGCCTCATTGGAAGTAAACTACATCTGCTTTTCGCACCCAATTTAACAAAAGAAACTCGGAAATAGGTTGACGGTCAAAATACACCAAAGGAAAAACTTTGAGATGGAAAAACATACTTCGAAAAATAAAATAATCTAGAGCCATGGGCGCCTCCACCCCACTTCTGAGGAGCACACAACTGGTGCAGGAGGTAAACGATGGGACCACTTGAACTGAAGGCCGAGTGGTTTTCAAGAAGAGCCCCCGTGATGGTGCAAACAGAGCGGGAATTAACCAGGCGGAGAGGCAGCAACAAGTGGCCGGCCCAGGCTCCGCTGCTGGATACTCCCCGGAGAAAGGGGAACTGAAAGCCACTCAGCCCTCCTGCCTTATGGCAGTAGACTCAGAGCCTCCAGATCCCCCGGTAGTACCGAGGAACTTTACTCACAGGGTCACTGCTCCAAAGGAACTTCTCCCCCACCCCCAACACAAACGATGATTCACCGTCACCAGGCCAACGGCCACAGGAACTACGTCACCACCGAACAAGCACCGCGAGGTGGGGAATGAAAGATGCGCGGTCAGAGGCGGCGCTGTAGAGCACGGGTGGCGGGCACGAGCCGTGCGGAGGCGGAAGTGTGATAAAGGGGCGGGACACATGCAGGCGACTCACGGCGTTATAGGGGCAGGTCACAGGGTGGGACTGACTCTGATTGGCTAGCCACCCCGAACGCGAACGCGAAGGCGTGCGCGCGGCGGTGACGCCATCGCGCTTTAGGTGCGGCTGATTAGATCGGCGAATGGAGACGTCGCTCGGGTAAAAATAAAACCGTTTTTTACTCAACTGTAATGAAAATCGTTTCGTTTGAATTGTAGGGGGCGGAAGGACGAAAGCAGCGAGCTGCGTTTGGAGCAAAAGAGACTTTGAATGATAATTGTTATTGAAACAGTCGGAGGCAGTGGTCGTTTGTAGAAGACCTGGGACATTTTTCGGGTGTCCTGAGGTTAAATGCACGGGAGGCCTTCTGGTTATTAACATTATTCAATCTGTATGTTGAACAAACATTCAAAAAATTGGGTGGTGAGAATTAGAGGTACAAGCAGCAAACCGGTGCACTGACAACTTGCAGAATTAGAAGAGGCCCTACAAAATGTTGTTGATTAAGTAAGCTCTTGTATGTTTTGAATATAGATTGTTAGTGTTCATGCTCAATAAACAAAGTTATTCATTTCGGAAGGGAGAACAAAAGAGCAGACTATTCAAGATGTGGGAGGGTAAATGCTGAGAGAATGTTTCCCCTCGCGGGAGTGTCTAGAACTTAGGGCATAGTCTCAGAATAAAAGATTTGAAACTGAGACAAGGAGCAATTTCTTCCTTCAAAGTTCTGAGAGTCTTTGGAACTCCTTGCCACAGAGAGCTGTGGGGACAGAGTCCTTGTGTATGTTTAATAGAGGAAATAGATCATTGATCAGTAAGGGAATCAATAGTTTTGGGGAAAGGGCATAAAAGTGGACATGCAGAATGTCAGATCAGTCATATCCTATTGAATGGCAAAGCAGCCTTGAGGGGTCAGAATTTCTGTTCCTGTTCCTTTTTTCCTAATGGTTTTAACATGCACATGAGATGCTGAAGTTAGTATGGAGATAGTTAGAAGTAATTTTATGAAGAACAATATGTTAAACAAGGAAAAAGAACATGGTACAATTTTGAACATAAAATAAAGACCTGTGGAACAAGATTGGCACCTTTTGAAATAATGCTAAAATGTATATCCATAGCACATAAGACAAATTTAGATGTATTTGAAATTGCAAGAAAGGGATTTTTTTTTTTTAAAAGTACAGGGGTGCCTTCAACTCTCCTGTGCTTCACACTCTGACCTGATGGCTACAGCCTAGAATCCTGGCTGCATCTGGAAATGACATTCGCAACAGAATTCCTGCTGATTGTAACATCTAGCTCAATTTTAAATTTGAACCTAGAATTGATAGATTTATTTTTCAAGGCTAGAGATAGTAGGAACTGCAGATGCTGGAGAATCTGAGATAACAAGGTGTAGAGCTGGCCAAGCAGCATCAGAGGAGCAGGAGGGCTGATGTTTCGGGCCTAGATCCTTCTTCAGAAATAGGGGAGGGGAAGGGGGTTCTGAAATAAACAGGGAGAGAGGGGGAGGCGGATAGAAGATGGATAGAGGAGAAGATAGGCGGAAAGGAGACCGACAGGTCAAAGAGGCGGGGATGGAGCCAGTAAAGGTGAGTG